TCAACTCCCAGAAATCCTGGCCAGCAGAGGTGGTGGTGAAGGCTTCTGGGAGTTGTAGTCCAAGAACATCTGGAGGCCCAAGGTTGGGGACCACTGCTGTACGTGACCTGAAGAAGTAGACTTGTCCTACAAAAGCTTTGATCTTTGTCCCATTTTTTCAAGTGGTCTAATAAAGGTGTCACCTACTCTTGCATTTTCGACTATAAATCTCAGAATCCTCAGCTGGGGGGATTTGGAGGGCTCAAGATAAAACAGAGGCCTTTTCCTAGCTTTGTCTTTTACAGTGGGGTCTTGACTTAAGAACGGCTTGAGTTAAGAACATTTTGACTTAAGAACCGCTCTCATAGGAAAATATTGACTTGACTTACATACTTAGATTTGAGTTAAGAACTGAAAAAAAAACCACGTGGGAGGCAGGGAAAGTGCAAAATTTGAACTTTCACTTAACTGTTGGCCAGTGAAAAGGGTGCCTGTCTGCTTCCTCACTCCTCCCAGCGTTTCGAGAGTGGATTGGGAGACAGTCTTCAGACTGCCAGGTACTGTCCTGCCTGGACTGTATTTTCCCTGCCTTCCCTGAACCTTTCTTGACCTAAGAAAAAAAGAAACAAAATATCCCCCTCCAGTGGTCAAAGGCAGAATAGCAGCTTCCCATTAGTTTCTATGGACGGGAAAGAGCAGATACGGATCAAATGGTTTTCAATGCATTCCTATGGGAAATGCAGATTTGACTTGAGAACATTTTGACTTGAGAACCGCCTTCCAATACGGATTAAGTTCTCAAGTCAAGACCCCACTGTATATAGATTCAAGTCAGGCAAGATAGAAGGGCCTAACGTTTGCAGAAAGGCGAAGAACCCGTAGTTATAAACAGAATCATCTTGAAACATTTGCTCGCAGGGGGCCTACTAACTTCCTCATTTCCTTCAGATGGGATTCAGCCTGGGCAGCAGCAACTTTATTCAGAAGAGAAGTCAGCATCAATTATTTTAACATAACTTACTCCCAATTAAGTCTCTCTAAGAATGAAGGCGCATGTGTTTCCTTCCTCCATCAGGTCCTCCTAACGCTTCCTTTCTCCACACTGTTCCTCATGTTACCTACTTGGTTCTTTACCCACTTATATATTGTTACTTTCTTTTGATTTCAACCCAGAAGAGGAGGGGAAGACTAAGGGAATGATTAATGAAAGCAGATTGTTATCTTGTGGGGAAAAATGTGCCATTCCAAGGCAAAAGTTTGACCCTGCAGCATAACTCAGACCAGCATTCAGCAGCTTGTAGTTCAGCTGTAATTGGTTTCAAAATAATTGACAACCATTGATGCACCTCCATTTTATGCTGGACCCCATGCATGGCATCAGGACATGCTTATGTAATTGCTGACTCCTTTCTTGCTTTGTTTGAACAACCCATGGTTACCCACTTATGTAACATCTCCCAAGATTGTTTTGGTAGTTCTTTATTTGAAGAACTGAGTGGAACATTCCAGTCCAGTCTCACCAGTTTGAAACCACATACACACCCCCAAAGCTTGTTTGCAGCCCGTGTCCGAACTTGCTGTACCTTGCCATGAATTTCTGGACTCTCATTTATAATAATTTTTCTGCAATATCAACACATGGCTTAAAGAAGTAGATTTGGTCCACAGAAGCTTGCTGGTTGTTTCATTTTTTTTTTAAAGTGGTCTAATAAAGGCATCACCTTATATATTTCAAATTGAAGTCCTTCTCTTTTATTGTGTCATTACACTTCTCTTTTCACCAACAATGGAGTTAGGGATACCGAACCCCTGTGTAGTTCAAAATCCATATGTCATTCTTTTGCCCCCAAAAACTTAACTACAAATCAGAAAGAGTTTATTAACAGAGAGACATACACACACACAGGCAGCGAAAGGACAGAAAAAGCCTCTCTCAGGGGAGGAAAGCAGAGGTGTGGTCTCTCCTCCCTGCTCCATTGAGCAGCACACCATTATGGCTCCCCCTGAGCCAAATCAGCCTCCTGGCATGATCCAGCACCCTCCATTGCTTCCACATGGAACCACCATGCCAGGAGAGGGAACCATCTGGGCTACCGCTATTAGACCAGGAACAGCTACACTTCCAATAACAGGAGCTCAGTAAGTCCAAGATCCACTTTGCTCAGGTCACTTCCTGGAGATGAATAGCAGCACAGTATTTACTGAATATTTATTATTTGTTGGGGGAGGGAATGTGTAACCAAAACCATTATGCTCAAACCCATGCAATTCAAGAGAGAAGTGTAGTATATTTCCAGCAACACCTTCGGTTGTATTTCTGAGTGTTTCCTTTTACCTGGTGCCCTATGTTCCTTTCGTAGTGTTATCTGTCCTTTTCAGGCTAGTGACCCACTCCAGTTAGACAAGTTATTCTCACTTCAGTGATTGGTGTTTATTTTTCATGCTGAGTAAATATATTTACAGATAGTAATGAGCTTTGGTGCACAAAATCTTTTTCTATCTAGGGCTTTGCAAAATAAGCAAAAAAAGGGGGGAAGGAAAAAGTTTATAGTCTTGTATATTTTCCACTGATGTGGAATTTGGTGCATTCATTATCAGTTACAGTGAGCTATAAGGGGTTGATTTTAAAAAGTTTTTCAATTTTGAGAGAGCAAAGTATCAAAAACTCTGGAGCTGTCCATGGTCTGATATTCTACTTTGTGTATCTAAGAATTTGTATTCTGTTTTATGATTAAGAATATTTTCAGGGCAGATCACACTCATCAGCTATGTGCAACAATGAACAAATGAATGTTTAGAAACTATCTCAGTTAAATGTTTCTGCAAATGAGGGGAAAAAAGATGATTTCATACCTAATAATAACATATAAACTTAAGTATCAGCATGACATTTTCTCAACATTAAAAAACAGGCCAAACTTTTTTAAAAGGTCAAATCGAATACAAACACATGGAAAACCTATGGGAGGGAGGAGGTGGAGAAAAAGTTATTATTTAAGAGTCAATAACCAGTTTCTCCTCATTGAATTTTAGCCAAGATGGCACAAAAAATCATTAATATACTGTAGGTGTTTGTGTATTTAAAATATTTAATCCCTTCCCTTAAATGGGGAGGCTAGTTATATATAAAGTCTGTATAGTGGTTTAACATTTAGGAAAAAAATAAGGCTAAAATAAAGTCTTGAAATACAAGCATTTTTTTAAAAAATGCACAAAGAGGAAGTTAAAAATAAAACTAGTGGACAAAATTCATAGAATTAAAGGTTTAAAGATTTCAAAGGGTAATTTTGGGGTGGGGGGACATGCCCAGTCCACCATAACAATTGTTAAATGTTCATGTTGCATCAGTCTCTCTACAAAGAGGATTCCATAAATCGGGCATTGATGTTGAAAAGACTTTTTGTAAGATTGCCACCTGTGTAATATACTGTATCTGTGGATTTTCCAGCAGCACCATTAAATGAAACTACAGTTAAAGTTTTATGTTATCATTTCCCCACGAGTATTGTAGCAGGAACATACATGTAAACTTTCAGCAATAAACTATCTTTTCATATTCTAAGATTCTCCTGGTCCAGAAAGTATAAGTTCAGCATTCACATGGAGATCCTGTTCAGAACATTAACAGTTTTAAGTGTCTACAGCTCATTAAGCTAGTCCAGGAACCAGGCCTCCCTGGGTTACAGAGTTTCTGTAGCATTCCTAAGAGTGCACGTTATTATAAAGTGCAGGGTATGTTCCCGACAGAGTTGTCTGGTATCCAGGATCATCCTGGACTCTTCTGGAATTTGCCACCTTGTGCAATGCCAAGAACAGCAGTCAACACAGCTATACACGATCAGAGTTTAAACTGACACACCCAAAGCTATGGCCTACAAAATTCTAACAATGCTCTTTTCTTGGTCAAGTATGGCCTACAAAATTCTAACAATGCTCTTGGTCAATTCTCAAGACCTGGACTGTTCTACGTACCTCTATTTAATTACATTTTGGAGCTCCCTGGTAAGGATGACTGGAAGGTGCTTCCTCAGTTCGCCCTGCTAGGAATGGGGTAAGCAATATACCATATTTTTCCTTGTATAAGACTATATTTTTGTCTAAAATCTTTAGACTAAAAATTGAGGGTCGTCTTATACACAGAAGTAAGCTGAGGAGAGAAGAAAAATAAGTGGAGGGGAAAGCAGGGATCAAAGTGATCCTGCAGGGCTTTGATCCTTGCTTTCCCCTCCACTTGCTAAGTCCCACTTAGATTTCTTAATTTTGGGTTAGAAAAGCAGGGGGTGTCTTATACACTGAAAAATACGGGTATAACCACCCAGAGCTTGAGGTCTGGGGGAAGTCATGCTTTTGAATTTAAATGTTGGTGGAGGGAGTTGTGTTCTGGAAAGTAATTTCTGGGAGGTGCAGTCCAAAAAAAAAAGAGAAGAAGAAGAAGAAGAAGAAGAAGAAGAAGAAGAAGAAGAAGAAGAAAAGAAGAAGAACAACAACAACAACAACAACAACAACAACAACAACAACCACCACCACCTTTCTGAGATCTGAGCATAGCATCTGAAAGAATGCTTAGATTGAAAGGGTGATCAGTGATGTAAATGAAAAAGAATGTCTGTGTTCATTTCTAGAATGCTCAGTCTTGCAGACTCCAGAACTGCTACTGCTGGCATTCACCCATTAGACTTTAGATTAATCACAAGATTTCTACTTTGTGCAACTCCCCGACCCAGAAGCAGTCATGTCCAGCCGTGGTGGCAGAGCCTGCACCTGTGCTCAAGACCTGCCTACGGTCTCAGGCTTTGGTCTCCAGGAACAAGATGCTGCTGACCGAGCAACCCTATCCATGAAGCCACTGTGGGAAAGAGGGATGCAGGGCTAGATAGACCTATTGTTCAACCCAGCTGAGTGCTTGTGTCCTGTTGCGAGGAACCATTCAGCTGAGCCTATTTCCTCAGGGTGACTGTGCTGTTCCATAGGATTATGGCTGATGAACTGCTGAAGGAAAGCTCACCGCCTTGATACAATACCCACTAGCAACCAAATATTGGGTGAAATCCTGCTGTGTAGCTCTGCATGTGCAACAGTAGTGATGTCGTCGTCATCAGCAAATTGCTGCTGATCAAAGACAGATTGCTGCTGGTTAAAGGTGATTTTAAGGTACATGGTGGCACTGTGGGCTAAACCGCAGAAGCCTGTGCTGCAGGGTCAGAAGACCAGCAGTCGTAAGATCGAATCCACACAATGGAGTGAGCTCCCGTCGCTTGTCCCAGCTCCCGTCAACCTAGCGGTTCGAAAGCATGCAAATGCAAGTAGATAAATAGGGACCACTTCGGTGGGAAGGTAACAGCGTTCCATGTCTACGTATGTTGCACTGGCCACGTGACTACAGAAGATTGTCTTCAGACAAAACACTGGCTCTATGGCTTGGAAACGGGGATGAGCACCATCCCCTAGAGTCGAACACGACTGGACAAACATTGTCAAGGGAATCTTTACCTTTACCTAAAGGTGATTTTAGGGTGCACACAACTGGTGTATAAAGTCATGTATAGCCTGAAATCCCCAAAGGAAGCCTTCAATCTGTGACTATTTGCCACTGCTGATTATCTTATCCCTGTTGAACCCATGGAGCTGGGCAAATAAGACTTAAGCACTGATTCATTCATTAAAAGTTATTTTTCTCTCACCTTCCTGTTGAAAATGTTCAGTCTGACTTATCACTTACTCCCATTCTTCTTGTTGCTTGCACCTGCTCTTTCTAAATGGAAATATCTACTCCTTTTCTCACCGTACATGCAAAAAGAAATTAAGGGTTGCAGAAGAAAGCTATTTTCTTCAATATTTTATGGGTGAAACGCTGCCCATATGGAGATTTGCTTGGCAATCGCTCATAGCTCATTCATGGATATTTTTGCACAGGCTCTAAGAAGACGCTCACTCATAGCATTCTACATGGTAAACAAATACAATTGCATCATTCAGACCTGGAATATTTACATGACCAGTGAAGCCTAAAGCAACCCATCAAAACCAGGGTATTTGCTAGGATGCCACGTATGACTATTGGATGTTCCTGGCTATGATTTTTCAGCAGCTTCCCCCAACTTGGCATAATCCAGATGTGCTTGACTACAGCTTGCATCATCTCCCAGTTAGATGGACATTAAGTTGGGGAAGACTGCTGGACAGTTCTGGTAGCATTTCTTGTGCAACTGTAGAGATGGACCCAAACTGCTCATTTGTCCTGGTTTGTTCTCTGGCTGAACAGGTGTTTGGCACTTCCCAGCCCTGCCTCCTCTGGCAACTGCCCACTCAGAGGCAGTGCCTGGAGGAGGCAGGGCAGGGAAGCTAAGGCGCTGTCTCTGAGTGGGTGCCCACTAAAGGAGGCAGGGCTAGGAACCACTGAACACTTGTTCATCCAAAGGATGAACCAGCACGAATCACTAAACCATGCCCATCTTTAGTAAGGAGCAACGCTAGATCAATTTGATTTCTGTTAACAAACTCATGGGCGGGGGAGCTAGCCTCTGTTTATAATTTTTGTGGCAATCTAATAAAGGTATCACCACTCTTCCCCTTTAGTTTGAGCACCAGGACCACAAGATTTTTTTCCTCCTTTTTTCTTGTTTGTTCAACTTGATCATTCCTAATCAGCCCTGCCAAGGTCATCACACTCATAATTATACCGTCCGCAAAGTGACTGGTGATCACTTTTCATAACTGCAAACTGTTTAGGGATTCTATTTTCACTGTGCATCTAACCTCAGTGCATCTAAAACAAACTAAGTGTTTGAGATTGCACTTAAAAGAAACCTGCCTGTAAATTTGGAAGTGAGCTGTGATAGTGGTCCCCCACACAGGGAAAACTTTGCAACAAAAGTAACTGTGGGTGAATTTGTTGGTGCTGCAAAAGTACCTGTGGGTGAATTTGTTGGTGCTCTCAAAGAAGGATGCTTCCATAGATGTTCTGGAGGAGGAGAAGGAACTGCCTACTCGTTCTCCAGCTGAGCAAGTGAAGCCACGAGCCAGAAAGAAAGCAGGCTTCACTCGGAAAGGCGAGCAGAGGAAATCCAGGGGATGTCAGAGTGCCCGATGACTGCCAGTCAACAGAAGAGAGCGCGGACTTCAGGACCAGCCCTTTTGCGCTAGACTACAACCGGGGGGGTCACCGAGCGCGGACTTCAGGACCAGCCCTTTTGCACTGGACTACAACCGGGGGTTCACCATCTGTGTGGATGCATCGAGTGTCGGACTTGGAGTGGTGCTGTGCCAAGTGGATGACAGCGGGAACCTGCAAGACTTTTGACTTTGTAATCCACAGCATAAAAAGGATTCAGAGCATGGATGCTGATAGCTTGCCTCAAAGGCCAAATGACTAATGGGTGGATAAACAAAGTTTGTAATGTTGTATTAAATGTTCTGTTTGTGTATAGCTATGAAATGTGATTAAAATGCAAAGCTTGGATGAACTAAGAGGCGTAGAATGATGGTAAAAATAAT